GGTTTAAGATAGCACAGGGCACACTGAGCCCTTCCTGAGGATGTTTGGCCTCTCTGCCCAGCAGAACTCCTAAACTAAGCTGGAATATCAAGCTTCAGGAATTACAAACATGTGGGCTAAGGGGTGCAGGGGAATGCATAGAGGGTACAGAAAGTGTAAAAAGGAAAAGCAAAAATCATCAGGCATCACTGGAATGCATTAAAATGTGGCTGTGGGACAGGAGATCCGTGCACTCTGCAGGGTGATGCTTCCAGCAGCCACTTGTGCAGGTTTGGAAGGAGAAGGGAAACATCCCCCATAGCCATGAGCTGTGTGCTGTACCATCCCTGCTGCCAAAACCAGCCAGCACAGTGTACCTGGGGTATCACAGGGATCAGCCACGAGGGTTTGGAGGAGATAAATGCCATGGACCTTGCATTTTAATTGCTGCAGTTGGGGCTGTTTGTGCCCTGTGCCACGCTGGGGAGCGGTGCCGGTGACACTTCGAGTGTGGCGGGCAAAATCCTATTAAGATAACGTCACGGCCTCTCTGTTTTACTGTTTGCAAGCCAGCCATAACATCATTAAATTACACAACAGGGAGGTGCCTGCTGCCAAGGGGCTCTGCTCGAGATAAGATGTGGGTTGAGCCACTGCCAAAATTTGAGTTGATATGACAAGAAATTTGGAGCGGGTTCAGGGCCTGATTCGCAGTGTGCAGGTAAACAGTGGGCAGGATTGATCCCTGGGGCTGTGCAGGGGTCCAGCACCACGGAAATCTGGGCAGGATGGGGCTGCAGGGGTTTGTTTCAGCCATATTTACACCTGGTCTTGTGCTCAGCACTGACAAAGCCTGGCAGGATGTGTAGGTGAAGCTCAGGGAACTGTTTGCAGGTTCTGCCTCTGCCATGCCCTTCTCAGCTCTTTTTGGGGGTGGGAAGGAGCCCAAACCCCAGGACACAGTGTAGGTGAAGCTCAGGGAACTGTTTGCAGGTTCTGCCTCTGCCATGCCCTTCTCAGCTCTTTTTGGGGGTGGGAAGGAGCCCAAACCCCAGGACACAGCTCAAAGAGACCTATTTTGTGATGCCACAGCAGCAGGAAAAGGAGTGGGAAGAAAGAGCTGCATTGTAAAACTCCACACGGCCTCTTAACACCCCTAAGAGCAGCCTTGTGGTCCCTGTGTCACTCACCATGTCCCTGCCACACTTGTGCATGGAGGCTTTGGGCTTCTTGAGCCTTTTGTGCCCATTGTGCCCTTTTCTGTGCCTCTTCGTGCCCCTTTTTTGTGCCCATTGTGCCCTCTTTTTGATCCTTTGTGCCATTTTTGGGATCCTTTGTGCCCATTGTGCCCTGTTAATTCTCCAATGATCTTTTCAGGTGATGATGTCACCCACCCCAAACTCACTCATAGGGAACAATTCCTTCCCAATATCCCATCTAAGCCTGCCCTCTCTCAGTTTGAAGCCATTCCCTGTGTCCTGTCCCTCCATCCCTTGTCCCCAGTCCCTCTCCAGCTCTCCTGGAGCCCCTTTAGGCCCTGGAAGGGGCTCTGATCTCTCYCTGGAGCCTTTTCCTSTCCAGGTTGAACAATCCCAACTCTCACACTCCTGTGGCCGTGCCAAGCTCCCTGCTCTGCACAGAGATAAAAACCATCCCTTTCCCAAACTGCCAGTGTAAGCCTGATTTTGTTCCCAAGGCAGGACACACTCTCAGCTGTGTTCTCAGGGCCATACGGCCCCTTCCAGACTCACTGGGTTGTTTGCAGTGACAGCCCTGCTCCCTGCAAACCTGCCCAGACAGGTTTTCTATGGCAACACAACAAATATCCTGCTGTCACAGAAACTGGGGAAGTGCAGGGAGGTCACAGCCGTGCCTGCCACGGCCGGTGTCTCATCTGCTGCACATCCATCACTTGGGAATTAGAAGGATGCAGCAGGCCAGGGGATGAGGCACTGGAGAGGCACAAACGTCACAGCATCCGTGGGACAGAGTTACCCTCAAGCCTTTKGCAGGGAAGATCRSRGAATCYTGGAATGGTTTGGGTKGGAAGGGATCTTACAGCTCATCTSTGCCATGGSAGGGACRCCTTYCACYGTCCCAGGGTGCTCCAAGCYACATCCAGCCTGGCCTKGGACACTKYCAGGGATCCAGGGCAGCCACAACTGCTCTGGAAAATCTATTCCAKGGCTTCATCATCCTCACAGCCAAGAATTCCTTCCCAATATCCCATYTAACCCCATTCTCTGTCAGTTTAAATCCACAAGCAAGGTGTGCACAGCCACTGCTGGGGAAGAAGGGGGCTGTGAGATGTCCTGGACACCCTGCTCCATCYCTGGTGGAGAACAGCTCAGTCACAGGAATCCTGAGCCACCTTCCAGTGCTCTGTATGGCCAAGATCCACCTGGGACCCCAAAAAACAGCAGTGCCAGAAGCAGGGCCACCAGGAAAGGCTGTAAGGGCAGGGCAGGCTCGCTGCAGCCTCTGAGGGGCTCTGAGGCAGYGAGGTGTCCTTGGATTCAGCTCAGAGAGGGATTGTTTTGTCTAAAGATGAGAGAACGGTAATTTTCAGTGCTGTACTAGGGAACTACAAGAATGCAGATGCATGAAAATAGAGAAACTAAAAATCCTAAGGCATCACTGTCCTAGGTGACCCCAGGAG